AACCTAATCGGGGTACGGGAGAAATACCACGATTCTGCGAATCAGAGATTCTGAATACGGGGACTTGGTTACACTAATGATCCCGAATAGAGATCCTTAATGCCCTTTCAATACCTAAAATAATATGATGTGTCTAACGTACCACACGAGTTTTCGAGGTCTATCCACTAATTCTAATCGTTCTAATCGTGGGAACTCAATCAATCAATATAAGCAGCACAATCAATTGCAATCAAGCAAAACAATTCTAATTTGGGTCTTTAAAATGGAAACTAATTCAAAACACCCAAATCCTAGTAAAGCTCTAAAGGTTTATTCATTCTATAATATGTGTTGTTTTAGGGTTTAGGGCTAAAATAAGGATTTTCTAAAAAAAAAATTGCCTTTTAGGCACCTCTAAAAATTCTAATTTCACTTGCAAATGTTGACCATAATGTTTTTGGGTCATTCTGTGAATTTTTAAAATTTTGATTTTTTTTGAAAATCTATTTTCCAAGAGTTATTTTTTTTACATTTTGTTTTTCTGGAATTTCCAAAATTTTAAGATTTTTTTTATGGATTTTCTAGAATTTTCAAAATTTTATCAATTTTCTTAAATTTTTCGATTTTTTAATTTTTTTTAGAAATTTTCTGGATTTTCTTTTTTTTTTTTATGAATTTTTTCAAATTTTTCTAGTTTTTTTTTTATGAATTTTTATGAATTTTCTATTTTTTAGAATTTTTTCAGATTTTTTATGAATTTTTTAAAATTTATTTATTTATTTTTTTAAAAATTTCCCGCTGGGGGTTGAACTGGACCGAATCGGCCGTCACCAGCGCTAGTCGAAGCTCCGGCGGGCACAATATCAAAACGGTGCCGTTTTTCTTTCTTTTCATTGTGGCATTTCCTCGAATAGGTGGTGTGCATAATTCAGGTTCAAATGCTCTCGAGGCCATCGGTTCAAGGTAACCTCCGACGACCTTCCGCTGGGATTTTAACTATTCCAATTGGCATAATGTTGAGTTCATATCATCCTCTAACTATTTAGCTTCCTCAGTTCATCGTCAGACCATCGCCAACCGGCGAAAAACTGATCTAAAACACCTACCTCGAAACAGTTCTAACAACTAATTCTAACATTCAGATCATAAATTTAGCGCCCTAGCCATTTCTATCGCTCAGAACAATCATCATAGCATGAATCATAGTTAGAAATCACTAACTTGAGCGATGATTGGTCACAGAAACGCTCCGGTGAGGTCTGGGAAGCTCCGGCGAGGTTCGACCATGGTGACCGAGATGGTTTATGCACGTTTTTTCAATCAAAAATGCAATCAAATAATGTAACATGATCAGGAACACATTTTAGACATCAATAAACTCAAAATCACGAAGAAAGTTGCATGATCAAACATGATTGAGCTTAAATACATATTCTGGATTTTTGTCAAAACGTGATTGTGAACGAACTTTACCTTCCTTGTTTGAGCTTGATTATGAATTTCCGAACCGAACGGCGACCATAAGAGGATTCCCTAACACTTGATCTTCAAGTTGATTGGCTCGGTTTCATCGAGAAGCTCTTGGATCGTCTGGATGAGTCTCGATTTCAGGCTTTGACAGTCAGCCACGTTGCAGGTTCTCCGGCGAGGAGATTCACGATTGGGATCAATTTGCCAGCACTTTTCGGACCGAAAAAAATGCCGATCGCTCGATCTCAGGGATTCTCAACTCGCTCTCTTGCTCGATCTCTCTCCTCTTCTCTTTAGTTCTCTCTCTCTCTCTCTCTCTCTCTGGCAATTTGTCGAACAGCCCCCTTGCATAGATAATGACTTTCTCCCCCTTTCCTAGCTCGGTTTCCTGCCAAACTCTCGTTACCACCGACCTCCGAATCGGTTATGATGAATAATCGATGACAACGGGATATTCTCCAGCTATTAAATTAGTATTTCGCATGTGTTTGTGGTGGGATTAAGGTCGGTGAAGTCGTGGGGTCGGAGTTATTTTTCTGGGTTTAGAGTGTTCTAGGTGAGTCAGGTAAGGAAGGAGACCAACCTGGGTCGGGTCAGGTTGACTTGGCCGACCCGGGTTGGTCTAATATAGTAAATTAAGCCTGATTTTGACCCAATTTTTTAGATTTAACCTCAAAATTGAATTCTTTGACACATTTTGCATCAAAACATGAGATTTTCCCTAATTTTTGTCACAATTAAACCAAAAATTCCCAAATTTTAAAATCCGGGTCACTAGGGTTCTATTCAATCCAGTACCTAAATGACCTGATTGAGCACAATTGATGCCAAAATTGGATTACCCATAACTGATTAATCCTAGAAATGATGGTTTCAAGGTTCGACAATTTCAAATTGATCATGATCCTCAATTTGGGCTAAAAATCCCTAATTTTCAATTGAATTTTGGGGCTTTTCGATTTCTTTGATAAATTGTGCAATTGGACCAACCATTATGTAATTCAAGGTTCCAGAATCATTTGTTGTGAAGATACTATAGCCTAGAAATGACTAGAAATGACTCAATTGAATTTTTGATTGAATTTGGGCTTGTTTTTGCCCAATTTTGGGAAAAGCACATTCCCAATTGAAATTTTATAAAATTGATGCTGTATTAATGAAATTGGATTTAAAATAAGACTAATGACTATTTTTATGGAATTTTTGGACTCCATTTGCTATTTTTCTTGATTTTCTCTATTATTTGGACTAAAAGAAATTAAGGAAAAATTCAAAAAAATTCTAAAAAAAATATTTTTGGTTTAGAAATAGGTTCGTAAGCTTGGCCAAGGTTCCTAATCCTAATTTTGTGATTTTTTAGAAATATTTAAAAATGAGCTAAAAATAATGTGTCAACAGTCATTAATGCATATATATGAAGCATGCTTTTGTGAATGTGTTTCCCATACTATCCCTTCGGTGTTGTTGGTTGGGTGATTTGAATTTCGCTTTCGCATGTGCTTATTTGTTATATTAGGATGGGTCGGCGACGCCTCTTGGTACATTGCAATTAAATGACCTAAGAAGGGAAGTCACGCGCTTGAGCCTTGGTGGATAGGACCGGGGCGTGACACTAACGACGTCAACAAGCATCGGCCGAGAGCAACGGCTGCAAAGTTTGAGCAACGCAGCCATGCTAGGGTAGGAGCGGCAGCTCGACTGGATTGAGACAGAGGCTTCAGGGAGAGAGGAGTATGTATGATGAGCATGGCAACCACTTCACGTGTTCGCTCTTTGTTGCGGAGGTCGCCAACACTATCGTATATTCCCTTTCTTTTCTTTGCCGATGCTTAATCTAGTTTTATCCATCCATACCAAACATAAATTCGGAATACCTCTATGTTAATATTTTTTTGACATTTACTAAATGGTGTATAGGATGTTACAAATCGCATTTTATCCTTATCCTATTCAACGTTATCCTATTCGATAAAAATGCCTAGATGAACAAACGTAGTCTCAACGGTTGACTTCATCGGCATCCCTGTTGGGTTTGTTGAGTTTTCTTTAAAAATCATTACAATTAGCTTATTAGGGCTAGGCCAAGCTTGCTGCTATTTTCTAAGCAAGCCCTAAAAACAGAGTCCACCATGGAGGTGGTCCTTCATAAACGTGAAAAGATTATTAAAAAGGAAAATCTAGAGCAGTGCTATGTGTACCAAACAGTATGCAAATTTTGATATATTGAAACTGTTGTTTTGCATAGTGCAAGGGTTTGTTCGATGTTCAACTAGCCAAACAGGCGCACCCGTATGCGTGTAAAGAAAAAATGATGAAAAGAATTAATAAAAGAAGACAATGCGAAATGACTTATTTTGGAAATTGAATTTAATTACTAATTTGATCTAATTGTATAATCTGTGAGAGATTTATGTGGATATATATAGTGAAACTCAGACCGATATACTATGCATAAATATGACATTATTTTTTTTGCACCCATAAATATGACGTCAGAAGGTTAAGTTTTCACCTTTTACAAGCTTAGTTGAAAATAATTGATTTTTTTCACAGTTCGTCAGTCTCGATTCTCGTTTGTAACTTGAGGTGCGTTTGTTTTATGGAAATCTCAAAATTTGTAAAATATTTTTTGAAAAATGATCGCTTTTATCTCTTATAAAAATGAATTAATGCAAAATATTTTCATCACTTATGAATATAATTAGGCATAAATTGTTATTAATAATGAGAATATTTTTTATTGATTAATTTTTTTAAATGATATAATCAATCATTTTTCAAAAATTATTTTTTAAATTTTAAATTTTTCGTAAAACAAACTCACCATTTACCTATAACCCAAACGCAAGAAGATGGAAATGAATAAAATGAAGGTGCGGCCAACTAAGGAAAGCACGTGTTTGACTTGGCAAGTGGACTTCCACCAATTACGGGTATTGCGGCATAACAACGCCACTAAACACGATTTTCAACGAGCGAAAAAGATTTGTCCATCATCAAATCTCGTCACGATTCTTACCTGTCCTGTTTAGACATTCCTTAGTAACACAGGAATCGGAACCTTTCGATTAAATTAAGATCCTCACCAATATACTAAACACAGTCAAACTGTCTCGTGCATTGGCAAAGCTAGTACATAACTCAATTGTTTTCGTAAAATTCGTTCACCCGAGCTGATTCGAATGGATGCTGTGTGTTTGGAAGGACATCTTGCGAAGCAAAATCCATCAAAGTATGTGCACGTCATTCATTTCGACTAACTTATATAAATGAACCTTGTAGATGTGCTGCGTACGAAATTAAAGCAATTCCTTATTTAAAACCGGTCTTATGATTCATACACTTGCTCCTTCTTAATCAGAATCCCTATCATGGTGGGAATTTCATATGAATGGAGGATGAATTGGCAAGAAGAAATTAGCTTTAGTCGCTTCACTTTCTTCTGGAAAACGTGTTGGATCCATGGCCAAGCAAGATCATGGAAATCGACATAAAAAAAGGAATACAAAATTGAAACCCCCATGATTCGCCAGATAGCTCAAGATTTGAGGCATAGAGTCACCGAAACCTAGCTTTATTTTTGGACTTTCAGAAGCCAATGACACAAATTTTGAGAGAGACCCATCAAGATTTTCAACCACACATACACATCCGGCCATCCGCAGCCGACAGCCAGAGAGATCCCTCAGATTCCCCAAAGGACCAGACACCACAAACCCTCGTCTGAATCTCTTTTTCACTATCTCTCTGTGAAATCATGGTCTCCAGTTGTTTCAGTCTTCATCACCCTCTTCATCAGGGCACCCATCTCCATCCCAAGATTCCTCTGAGACTCTCTGGTCATCCCACTACTTCTTCTCTGGTCCAGTTCACCTCTAGATCAAGCTTCGCGCACCTTGTTCGTCGCCGCATATGCTCCGGTTCGGCAGCCATGGCTTGCTCGGGGCAATCGTACCCGAGTCCGAAGCCTTCGGATCCTGATTACTTCGAGCCGGACCCGACCCTCACCAACGATGACCTCCGGCCCACCACGGCCTCGGAGCGGACCTTCTCCGGGTGGGAGATGGCCAGCCTGTGGATCGGGCTCGTGGTCGGGGTCCCGTCCTACTACCTGGCGGGCAGCCTCGTCGACCTCGGCATGGCCTGGTGGCAGGGGATCGCGACCGTGGTGGCGGCCAACGCGATCCTGCTTGTGCCCCTCGTCCTGACGGGCCACCCGGGCGCACGCTACGGCGTCCCGTTCCCCGTGCTCGCCCGGTCCTCCTTCGGGGTCCGCGGGGCCCACGTCCCGACCCTCCTGAGGGCTCTGGTCGGCTGCGGTTGGTACGGCATTGAGACGTGGATCGGGGGCGAGGCCATCTTCCTCCTCCTGCCAGGCTCGCTGAAGCAGTCCTCCCTGTCGCAGCTTTGGCCTTGGCTGGGCACATCGCCGCTGGAGTTCGCTTGCTTCATTGCATTTTGGTTGGCCCAATTGACCATAGTTTTGAAGGGCATGGAGGGAATCAGGCAGCTTGAGAAGTACTCGGCTCCAATCCTAATAGCCCTCACTTCTTGCCTCTTCGCCTGGGCCTATGTCAAGGCGGGTGGCCTCGGCCACATGCTCGCCATGTCGTCGAAACTGTCCTCATCCCAATTCTGGGCACTGTTCTTCCCTTCCCTGACCGCGAACATAAGCTTCTGGGCAACGCTCGCGCTCAACATCCCAGACTTCACAAGGTACGCCAAGAGCCAGAGGGACCAGGTCGTCGGTCAGGCGGGGCTCCCGCTCTTCATGGGCTTGTTCACATTCGTGGGCCTGGCCGCGACCTCCTCGACGGAGGCGATCTTCGGCCGCGTGATCTCGAACCCGATCCAGCTTTTAGGCCAAATCGGGGGCCTTGCGACCACGGTACTGGCCATCCTAGGAATCAGCCTGGCCACCATCACCACAAACATAGCTGCCAATGTGGTGGCCCCGGCGAACGCGCTGGTCAACCTCAGCCCTTCATGGTTCACCTTCAGGAGAGGAGCCCTGATTACAGCACTCGTGGGCATCGCTTTCCAGCCGTGGCGGCTCCTCCAGTCGAGCGAGAGCTTCGTGTATACGTGGTTGGTGGGTTACTCGGCGCTGTTGGGCCCAATCGGAGGCATCATTTTGGCCGATTACTATCTTGTCCGAAACACAGAGTTAAGCATCAAGGACTTGTACACATTGAGCCCTTATGGGGCTTATTACTACTCCGGAGGCTACAATTTGGCGGCGATGGCTTCGTTGGTGGTCGGGATTCTCCCAGTGATTCCGGGTTTCTTGCAGAAAGTCGGGGCTTTGTCCGTGATTCCGGATGCGTTTGTGGTCATCTACAACAATGCTTGGTTCTTCAGCTTCTTTTTAGCTGGGTTTCTTTATAGGGTTTTGTCAAGTTTTTCAGGGAAATCCAGGAAGTCTCTTCCTTATGACCCACTTTTGCCTACTCAAAGTTGATGTTTGTTCACACATTTTGCACATAGCTTGTAAAGAAAACTCAAAGAGCTTATGGGGTTATACGTAATGTAAACTTCTTAGGAGTTGTTTGTTTCTTCAGATATTGCTTTTCCTCGACTAAATAAGAGCTCAGAAACTTCGATTTCTACATTCTCTTTTATTAATTTAATAATTCCATTCTCAAGAAAAAACTGGAAAGAAAATGCAAGTTCTATGATTAAGCACAGCTGTCAGTTACATCTCTATAAGTGATATGTGCAAGTGGTCCATGTAAACCTTGTACGTCCTTGTGCTGTTTAGGACTTGGGACTTTCAGAAGTATATGGTAAATAATATTATGTTTATTGTTTGGTTGTTCTTGATCAACATACACAGTGAATGGTCGGCCTCATCTGTTGTTGCTTGTTGTGGATCTTACAAATAACGTGCGAATATAACTTATATATTTCTCAATTTCAATTCATGGGAGGGGCAGAGCTCTATCGTTCCATGCTCAAAATTACGATTGTTGTCCGTGTTGGTTAAATTCAATGAGCATAGATAAGTGTCAAAAAATTGTTGGTAAATGTAAAGTTATCGACTTATTTTTTTTTTCCAGATGATTTGATGGTACTTACTAACACTTTTATGATGGGAAAATTTGCATCGGATGTCCTAAAATCATATGTACAAAATGCAATTAAGTTATAGATTTTTCAATTGTTTCGGTTACGTTTTAAACCTTTTTCAAGTGTATTCAAGTCATTTCGATGAATATTACCAGGAATATTTTACACGTCACTTAAAATTGCTTACACGATATCTTTATAGTGCACTTCCACATCTAGTTTTAGGGCTCTTGTGTTTTCGAGTAAACATTTAGCGCTTATGTGTCAATTGAAAGTTTTAGAATTCGATTATTCTTTTTTGTAAATGCTTAGAATTTGGTTAAATCAATTGAAAGGTTTAAGAGTCGGTTGCATTATATAAGAAGATTTAGGACTTCCATTGCACTTTTTCTCTTTTATGAAATCATCTAACCTTTCATAGTTTGTAAATTACCAATTTTTTGTACTAGCTTATCATCTCTTATTTGCATAATTTACCAACTCGTTATGAGTTAATTAAAAACTCTTATTTGAATTAGTTATTAACGTTTATTTACTTGCTTGCTTTGCGTTCACAATGTTTTGGTGTATTGATGCACTTTTCCACTTAAATAAGAGCTGGTAGTGTAAAACTAGTTGATAACTTAATCGTAGAGAATGGATATGCTACTCAAGTGGGTATTGATAACACTAAACTAGTTGGTAACTTAATAAGAGGAAAGGTGGTAAGTCACAAAAAAAATATCAGTAATTTTATCTAATCATCCGTAAAATTAAGACGTTGATGAGAAAGGTAGATAGAAGTTGGTAAAAAAATAGAGTAATTCTTTTACTTAGTGATTATTGAAGTTGGTGAAAAAATAATAATACAAGTTTTCAAGTCGCTTAAATAGAGCTAACAATGCAAAACCAGTTGGTAATTTAGTCAAAGAGAAGTTGGGTATCTGATAAGGTTGGTAATCTCTAAAAATTTGGTAAATTTAAAAAGTTCGTAATCAAGGAAAATAAAAATGATAACTCGAGAGAAAAAAAGTGATAAGTTAAAAAGAAACTAATAAACATTGGTAAACAACTCAAATGAAGTTGTAACAAAAATTAGTTACTAATTTAATCAAAGAAAAGTTGGTAACCTGCCAAATAAAGTTTGTTAACTTCATATAAAGGTTGAAAAATTTAGGCCGTTTATAAAAAAAGTAAATAAAAGTTGATAAATGATAAGAAAAGTTACAAATAAATAACTATTGATAACTCTTTAAATAAGAGTTGGTAACACAAAATTAATTAGGAATTTAATTGGAGAAAAGTTCGTAATCACTCTACCTGAGATTTTTCTAAAAAGAATTGGTAAATTAAAAAAGTTAGTAAGTAAGGCAAATGCAAGTTGTTAATGATAAGAATAGTCGATAAATTGAAAATAAATAAATAAATGTTAGGATGTAATTCAAATAAAAATTAATGACCAAAAATTTGTTGATGACTTAATCGCAAAAAAGTTGGTTAGTAATTCAAATAAATGTTTGTCATTTTATATATAGTTGGTAAAATTAAAGTACTACCAGAAGAAAGGTAAATGAACGTTGGTAAACGACAAGAGGATCTGTTTTTTGTCAAAGGATGTGAGAAGTTGGTCATTAAAAAAAATCAAATACATGGTAACTAAAGCCTCAAATAAGAAAATGTAACACAAAACTAGTTAGTTTTTTTTATATAGAAAAGTTGGCAATCACTCTAGTTAAGATTAAATGAGTTGGGAAATTTAACATGTTGATAAGTAAGACAAATAAAAGTTTGTAACACCATGCAAAAGTTGGTAAATCTTAAAAAGACAAATAAAATAAAGGGTAAGCAATTCAAATGAGAATTGGTAAAACAAAAAGGTGGTTAATAGAAATAAAAACCCTTAAGTCACATATAAAAAGCTTATAAATTCATATATGAGTTGATAAATCTTAAGACTTTAGTAAGAAAGAGAAATAAAGTTTGTAAACTATCAAAAGTGATAAAATTAAAAACATCGAATAAACGTGAGTAAGTAATTCAAATGAGAGTTTATAACCTAAAATTAGTTGGTAATTTAATCGGAAAAAAATACATCGCTCAAATGAAGATTGGTGAATTCATATAACATTTGTTAAAATTAAGGTATTAGTAAGACAGATAAATAAAATGTGGTACGAGATAAGAAAATTTTGTGATTTGCAAACAGTAAAAATGATTTAATTTCATAAAAGAGTCAGTAAATGACAAATAAATTATCGGGAAATGAGGTGATTTGTAATCTTTTTACCAAAAGTGTTTTGACACTCATAAACTATTTTAGAAATACACCTCCATGGAAAAAAAGAAGGGCTATTTCCACCCCCATTTTAGAAAGAATCACACCTTTTTGTTTTAAGTGACAAAAACACCCTTATATCACAAGTACTCAATAAAGTAATATATGACATTTCATAAAAAAATTAAATAACTTTCCATTCAAAATAGGGTGGAAATTACCCCAAAATATTTTTTTCTTGATTTATCTATTGACCGTAAACAACTGATTTTTTTTTATTTATGTTTTTCACAAAGAGTCTAATTTCATTTAAGAATCATTCTCATAGTTGACTTTTCTATTGATTGTAATGATAGAGTATGATGGCAATTTTCCTCTCAACTTCTCAATTTCAATCATACTATCCTCTGCTCCATTTATTTTGTTTCTCTCTCAAGTATTTCGATATTTATTTTTTTTAAAATTTATTAAACCATCTAAAAGCGCATAGTTTTTGATTTGCCATTATTATGACATGGCATGGCAAGGGAGTTAGAGAATTTAATATATTAATAAATTCAATAAAAAATTAAATTAAATAATATAAAATTCTATATGTGGTAATTTCTAACATATACACACACTCAATCTCAACAAGACAATTAATGAAATTTGTCCATAATCAAGCTCCTGTGAAATACTATGCAAGCTCGACTGAAAGAATATACTAATGAACACGTTCCCGAGTTACTGTATAACTCGACATCAAATGGTGTAATTATTTAACCAAAATTATCATAAAATTAGGATTGATATACGTACTGTAGTATACACAAATTTGGCACTCAAGTTTGAATCCCCTTTTTATTCCAGAATATTATTTGAATGAAACAAACTTTCACGCCAACATCAATTTAATTAAAATGATTATGTATGCTATTATTTATATTGTGCTGAAGGCACGATTTTACAACTAGTTCACGTAATGACACATTAAAAAACATATCTTGACCTAAGATTTGGACGATGACAGAAAAAAATTTCTCTTGTGGTTTGACAGGAAAAAAGTCGACGGCACGAAGAGAATAGTAAAAAAGGGAAAAATTAAATCTAAAGGAAAGTGACAACTATAAAAGAGGGGGAAGGAGAGAGAAATGTGGTTATAGTAAGTAATATTATTTAGGATTAATATTACAAAAAATCCTAAATTGGTATATCCGTGACAAATTTACCAAAATTAATTTTTGATCATAAAAAATCCCAAACTGGTACATTTGTGACAAATTTACCCTCCGTTAGTTTCTGTTAAATTTACAGTCAAATTGCTGAGTTGAATGACACATGTCAGTTGACAGATATACCAGTTTAGGATTTTACCCTTTGTTTGTCATAGATTTACCAGTTTATGGTCTTTCGTGGTATTAATTTAATTTAACGGAGAGTAAATTTGTTACTGGTATACCAGTTTGGAGTTTTTGGTGGTCAAAAAATTAGTTTGGAATAAATTTGTCACAGGTGTACCGGTTTAGGGTTATTCATGGTATTAACCATATTATTTATTGCTTGATTGAGTAATGATAGCATAATGTTTTTGTCATTTTAAATAAAAAGGTATGGTTCCATCCAAAAAGTGGGCGAAAATAGTCCCACAAAAATAAAATTCCGACCTTTTGAATCGAAGTCGTTCTTCTTGTTTTTTTTTTTTGGTTAGAAATATAGGAGAATCATTCAAGTGGAAGTGGAAGATGAATGGATATTTGTCCAAAAAGTCTTACACCGATTGTATGGCCTTAAAATTTTCAATTTGACCAAATTTTGGCCTAAACCTTTTGATGATTTGCCAATGTAATACTTTCGAACAATTTTGGTTGGAAATTGTTGACGTGGACGTTAGTTGTCTTATATGACATGATCGGCATTGATGTGGATAATTTTTGCAAATTTTTTTAAAAATTTTTTCCCTTCCTTTTTTTCTTCTTTTTTCCCTATTTGCCTCTGTTGGTCGTCGATCCTTGGCAATGGCTAGCGAGGGAAATAAGAAAAAAGAAAAAAGAAAAAGGAAAGAAAAGAAAATAAAAAAAAGAAAAATTTTAGAAAATTATTTACGTTAGTGCCGGCCGTGCCACGTAGGACAGCTAGAGTCCATGTTGGTTAGAAAAACTATATTGATAAATCGTCATAAGGTTTATGATTAAATTGGTTAAATTACAAGTTTAGGACTGAATTGGTCGCTGTAAATAGGTTAGAGTTTTTTGGACAATTTTCTCGAGGATGAATCTGACAAAAATAGGAAAAGGGTCACCAAAAGTTTCTTGAGCCACTTGTGAAACCTTATCACTAGATTATCATATAAACGTATGAATGAAAAAGGGCACAAGCCTAGACCAGCATGAAAAGGATCTTCATGAAATTCACGAACACTAAAAGCTCGAACACAAAAGTAGTTTGTGGGCTAAAATTGAAGCCCATTTGAGATGTCGGCCTCGTTTTGAAGTTGGATCAGCATTC